ATATTAGGCGATTCTTCAAAAGTATCCAAAAATAATTAATAAATTTCCTTTTATGTCTGGATCAGTCAACTCAGGTTTCCTTTATAGAGCTAGCAACATTTTTTTGACAAGATATTCTAACTAATCATAATAATTAAAATATTTTTTATCAATATTTTTTCTTATCAATTATTTTATAATATTACAAAAACGATTATTTGAGTAATTCCAATCGAATACGAATGATTTATTTTTCGATTTGAGAGCACTACACAATTCATAATTTTTTGAATAGATTTAATATCAATAATTATTTACAGGAAATTTCTGCTTTTAGAAAATTATAAACCAATATATTTATTATGTATATTAAATATCATGATCAAATCCATGTAAATAATAATATTCTTTATTCTCTTTATTTTAGGAAAAGAAGAATTGAAAGAGAAATTAAATTCCAATGTTAAAAAAATTATTTATAAAAAAAAAAATGTTCTTATTTAATAATGATTTTTTTTAGAATGTTAGAAATGAATGCACTTTATTTCATAATATAAAATATGTTATTGATTGTATGTAAGTCTTAAAATATTAGTGAAATAATTATAATTATAAATAATGTATAAAACTATTAGGTAAATGTTCAAACATATATTATGAAGAATAAAGATTTATAAAATCATTTTCTAAAAAAATAAGATGGGATTTTGGCCTTTTAACGAGTTAATTTATGTAAATTTTCAACAATTACTTTTAGCAAATCTTATAGTTATTTACCTGTAAAGCGTTATTTCAAATCAACTAATTTAATTTTATAATTTTAAACGTTTTTTTTATAATTTACTTAAGATTATTGGAGATTTATGATTGCGTTAAAATTATTTTAATAATTAATTTATAATTTACATTACTAAATTTTATTTATATGTTTATCACCAATAATGGCGATAGCTTAATTAAAAATTAAGACAATTTATATATCTCCTTAATTTTTTTTTAAATAAAATAAAGCGTCGACAAAATAAGAAGAGTTAAAATTCTTTGAAGTATTTATAAGCAAAATCAATAAAATAGATATAATTTAAAACAACAAAACTTTATAATATTAATATATATTAAAAGATATATTAAAATTGAATATAAAGTACAACCGTTGCTTCTTATCAAACAAAATCAATAAAACAGATATAATTTAAAACAACAAAACTTTATAATATTAATATATATTAAAAGATATATTAAAATTGAATAAAAAGTATAACCGTTGCTTCTTTTCAAAGCTGACATTAATTTGAAAAAAAATAACGCGCTATTGATACTACTACTTTCCCAAATAAAGTAGAATGCCTACCGAATAGCTATTTTCTCAAATAAACGGGTTATATGATATAAATATAGCATCGCATCTTAAGTAGCTACTTAAAAAATATGCCAAATTTTTATTTAATATAAATAAAATATTGCAGCCGCAATTATGATTTCTTTTAATAATCGTAAATGATTTATTCAAATTTAAAATATAAATATCAGTTCCAGACTAAAAAAAATACTTTTATAATAAAACATTATAAATACCGGGTAAGTAACCCAAAAAACGTTGCTTTTTGAAATCTTTATAACTCTAAAACATCACTCGCTTTTTAAATGAGATTTCATATTTATTAAAGAATATATAAAATTGAAAATATTCAATTTCGTTTTTTTATAAAATTTAGATCGAAAATGACAAAATTTGATATGAAAAATAATCCATGAGCTAACAATCTCTTTTTCCACTGATCGAAAACACTTAATATTTTCTCTCGATTCACAATTTTTTCTTTCAAATTCGTGTGATGATCAAAATAATGGTAACCCATCTATAAACTAGCTTTTAAACCTTATAAATTAAATTTAAAATAAGAGAGTTAAAAGGCCACAGAGTAGATTGTGCATATCAATAGCAGATCAAATTTACTTATTGATGATTCGATATGAGAGGAATCATTGACTTGAATAAAAATTATATTTAATCAGAAAATAAGAATTTAGCACTGTGCAACAGATTCTATAGATGATTAAAAATAACATAAGATTTTATCATTTTTTGTGGATTAAAAGTATATTTTCATTAGTCAGTGGCGTATTCAGGATTTTCTTTTAGGGGGGGGGGGGGTGAATTTTTTGTATGTTTTAGCTATTCTATTAAATTATTCATAATTTAATAATAATTATATATCTATTTTTAACTTTTATATACTAATTTGTTCAATCGATATTACAAGTCTATTTTTTTAATTATTTTAAGTTAGGTATGTTATATTTAATAAAGTTTTTTTAAATGTAAAGTTGAAATAAAGTTTAATGTCATTTTATTTTAAAATTTGCTTTAAAAACTAGCCTCAGCTTAAATTCTCATACAATATAAGTAGAATAAATTTTTTTTATTGTGCACAGTGTATAAAATATTGATAGAAATAATTTAAAAAGCAAGTTTTTATAACTTCTATCAAATACAATATTATCAAAAAGTTTATTAAACACTAAAACTATAATGTAATTTTTAATTTTCATGTGGATGTTGCCAATTCATCTAGAATTTCGTTCGTCGTTGGAACTAAATCTCTGAATATTTAACATTGCTAATCCATTTAGCCGAGATTCTGAAGTAGTACTTGGTAAAAATGTCTTCTGCCTTCTCAAGTTTGAAAATGTCCTTTCATTCGTACATGTTGTAATAGGCAAACATGCAAGAATATAAAATAACTTCAAAATATCGGGAAATTGAGCCAACATGCTCAGACATATTTAAATTTTGTGTATCTTCTGTTATAAAGAAAAATGAAAAATATAAAATTAGATATTAATTAATAATTAAAATATTATTAAAAATACTTATTAATTCTAACTCACTAACTAATAATTTTGAATTTCATATAATAAATATATTTAATAATAAATTATATCCCGTTTGATTTCAATATCTTTGTCTTTGACTAAAATTTCTCCATTTTTTATTAATATTTTTGAATAATGTTAATTTACTCACAAGGAAAGGAAATTTGAGAAAATTTTTTTTATAAAAAATAAGTTTTATGTTGGAAAATTGATATTCAAATATTTGTAAAATTTTGATTTGGGGGGGGGGGGGGAGGGAGTAAAATTTTTAGCTTAAAATGATATTTATGAAAACAATCAAATTTGCGATGGGGGGGGAGGGGATTTCCCTCTTTCCCCCAGATTGGTTAAGCGCCTGTCATTAGTGTAAGGTATACTCTAAATTTTTTGTTAATTATATGCCTTTTAAAATCAGATTTGTTTGAAATCCTAAATATTATATGTTATCATTTATGGTAGAAAAATTTTGAAAGAACGAGAATTCGGTCATAGAGCACGATGTCTACTTATTTATAGAAAAAAAACTGTAGGGTCATAAATTATATTTTGCAAAATTTTCGCATTTTTATTTTAATTTTGTGTAAAACACAACTCGATCTAATTCTAAATATTTTATATTAATTCCTATTTCTTTATACTCTTTAATAATAAAAGAAGTTGAAAATATATCTAAAGGTTATTTTATCTAGTAAAGAACATCTTATTTCACAAAAATTATTCTTATGTCATTTCCAATATTTTCTTAAATGGAGAAAAAATAAATACAGGTTAATAGATGTATCCTTCCAAACATAAAATAAATAATTTATTGCACTTATGTGGAATGCCATTTAATATAGTTTAAGTTCTTAAGTTATATCAGTATCAATAGAACTTCTATCTTTTTCTTATAATACCCCTCTTCATTCAATATTGCAAAAATAGGTTTTTGAAGGAGGTTTACCTCCAGTGAATATCCTATTAATTACATATATATTTTAGCAATATGAGAAACAATCCATAAATTCGAATAATCTATTAAGTGTGTTTATTAAATTTTCTACAAGTTTATTTTATCAAGCATTAAATTTATTGTTAAAGCAAAAGTAGTTTAACCATGTAATGAAACAGAAGCATTTTTGCGTTGATGTTCATTTCTGGTCAAAAAGGTATGTTTCGATCTCGTTTTGCACGTTTTGAAACATTCAGAAACGTGTTACTAAAAATATTTAATTTCAATTTTACTAAAATTTAGTTATTGTTTAATAATCCATAGGTGTAACAAAGAAAAATACCCCCCCCCCTCCAAATATACCTTTTTTTATAATGTGCTGATAAAAAATTTCCTCCTTCCACGCCCCCCCCCCTCACCTCAAATATATACAATATATCCCTATAAGCAGTTATTAATTGAAAGAATAATAAGTAGAATAGTTCATAATTTTTTAAAGAAACGACTATTATTTAATTCTTAGGAAAAAAGAATTTTTTAAAAAAAGGGAATTGAAAACCCCAAATAAATTTTCTAAGAATATGTAGATCTAAAGACTAGTGCCACCCCCCCCCCCCCATAGGAAAATCCTGGATACCTATGGAGTAATCTTATAATGTATGTCAGTTATTACAATTAAGTTGTAATTGTGACATAATCTAAAATATTATTATTATTTATATAGCGGTCAATATAAAATTGAGTGCAAAAAAACTCCTGTCATCGCTAACTTGGTAATTTTATTTTAAAGAAATGTTTTTATAATATTAAAACAGTAGCAATTAATGTAAGAAAAATGAATATTTATGAATAAACCATAAAAATAATATTTGTAATTAAATATAAAATTTAAAAGGACTATTGGCCAGATTTGGGTCGATTTTTTAAATAGGATTAAGATTTTAGTAAAATAACAGTATTATCGAGATTTGGCAAATAGAGGTCCAAACCATTATGTTATCTATGACCAAAATCTCTACGCTTACATAATATTTTGTCTAAAATCTTTATCGGCCCATTTTTAGAAGTCGATCAAAATCGAGCCGTTTAACAACACTAGATGAATGAATGATAAAATTTCAAATAAATTTAACACATTTAGTTTATAAATTGTAGTATCATTTTTTTTATTGAAATTTTAAAATGTATGAAATAAAAAATTGTTATGGCCTAATATATATGGAGCGAGTTAATATAAATTATAGATATACATATTATATATAATAATAAATATAATTTATTGAATAGAAGGATACGTTGATTAACATTAAATGACGTTTAAAGCAAATTAGGCTTCAATTTAGATAATGATATTAGTAATTTCTTCCATAAAATATTTTTAATTTGTTGATTTATATCATCTTCCAACGATATTTTGAATGTTGTTTCGTAGCTGGCCTTCAGGTATGAAAAATCATCAAGCTATATTTTTATTAATGAAAATCAAATTTTATAAATAAAATGGAGCAAAGAAAAATCACTAATTAATAACCAATGAAATAAATTTTTATAAATATTCAAAGACTAGTGACTAAGGTCTAAAAAGCTAAGTAAAAATGACTCTATGGGGTATATGACTTCGATTCAGAAAATTTTGTAATGATTTTTAACCATTTTAATTTATAATAGTTTTCTATTAAGATTTTCCATATTAAATTAAAGAAATTGATAAATATATGGTGAAACTGTCTGAAATAAATAGGAGAGGCAGTAGGCATTACATGCCAAAATTTAATATTGAAATCAAATTTTTACATTTAAAAATCACCGTCAATGTAAAAATGATTGATATTAGGAGGATCTGGATTATTTGTTATTCTATAAAGATTTATCACCATATATAAAACATGGGACTCAAAAAATTAAAAAAATAAATTTTCATTGATTCATTTGTCCAGAATTGAAGTGCGTATTTGCTTAATTATAAGAAATAAGAATTGATTTCACAGTTTAAAAGCATTTTCAATTGCATATGTTTGGTTTTAAATTGATCAATTAAAAAATAAAAGTTAATTTTAATATCTAAATATTTAAAAAGGATGGGTTCAAAGTCAAAAATTAAAAAAAGTGATTTTCACATTTATATTATGCGTTTAAACTCGATTTCGTAAATTTCAATAATATTAATTTTGAAAAATAAAATTTTGACTTTCAAAATAAAATATCACTTTAAGATGTGGCCTAAATATTAAAAATATAATTTATTAATTTTAACTAAAAATCTATTTTTAATGTAAAAATTAAATATTGGTCTAGTTCATTTTTCTTTGAAATTACGAAATTATTAATTTTGTAAAATTCTAGAAATTAATAAATTTAATAAATTTTAGCTTATAATTAATAAATATGTAAATTTTTTTTACTAGTAACTACTAGTAATTTATATTTTTAATAAATTTTAGCTTAAAATTAATAAATATGTAAATTTACGAGTAACTACTATTAATTTATATTTTTAAGAAATTTACAGTTATATTAATCAATGGGAAGTATTTAAAATTTTCCGAATCGATAAAAAGTTACGAAGATTCGGCATTTTCTTACGGCCTCGCAAATTAAAGGGATATTTTGGTAAGAATTATAAATTTCAAATATAAAACTTAATTAAAATTTTAAAGGAAATTTTGATCATGTTTTATAATTTTATAAAGTTACGGAAATTTTTAATTTTTGAGGTTTTTTAAAATATATTTAGGTTAAATCTTTAAGTAAAAGATTGAAATAAATAAAGCTTCCCGAAAAACAAAAAAAAATAATAAAAATTTATAAATTCAAATATCAACAAATATGTAGATATAGCCTTTTTCAAAGGCTAGAATTGTACTCTTATTTCTTTAGACACTATTGCTACCTTTTTTAAAAATATATTTGAAATATTTTACCTTAACAAAACATCACATATTTCTGGTTGTTTTACATTATTTACTAAAGTCCTCATGGTGTTATTTGATTATATTAGAAATATGACCTAATTATTATTGTATATAAATTATATTACTATTTTTATTAAAAACCTTAATTTCTCCGATTTGAAAAAAACGCTTAATCAGTATTTTAGCCAAGAAATATTACAATACCTCGAAATTTATCCGATGGCTATCTTTTTGTTATTTTTTAGAATAACATCGACGCTAAGCTAAGACACTTTATCCAATTGGTCAGTATTATTACTATTCAATATCACCAATAACAAATAACAAGTAATAATCAATTATAGCCCTTCCTTTCAGTTAACGCCCTGCTTAAAAAGATAAATATATCAAGGGCACTTAATATCACAATCTGTATCGATTCTTTAGTCTCCACAGATGTCGACCTTATCATTACAATATATCCCGACTTTGATCTCTCTTTAAACCTTATGAAGTCGAAAACTAATTTCAATTTAACTGCTGCCTTATAAAATTTCATGATTTACTTAAAGGGCTAGTGCCCAAGCCTTAAAAAATATTGAGGAATCCCACAAATAGCTGACTCTCTAATTCTTAGGTTCTCTCTAAAAAATAATCTACTGAATCAATGTGCCACCATATTTTACTCCTTAAACCTAAGATAGGAGAAAAGAAGCCTTAAACTTCTATCAGGAGACGAAGGTTTGAAATTATAATTTTATATGAATTTATATATTATAAATTAAGATTTTTTAATTTTCATCGAATAGTATAATTTTTGATCTCGTGATCAATTATCATAATTTCTTTTTTTTTCTTTGATATAATTTGACTAAGGAGAATTGATAATATTATAATTGTATTATTTAAAAGTATATTCTTTTTATTTTTAATACTCATTTATTTTAGGACATTCGATTCTTTATTTCTAATAATGTTGATATACACAGGATTCGAACCAATCCAGAACGCGGAGAAGAAAACCCGGGTTTTTGAAAAAAAATCTGAACCCGAACCGAACCCGTTATAAAATTTTCAAAAGTGTAATATTTAAAATCATATATTAAGATATCTGTATAATTGTAAATACAAATATTAATAATTTAATTGAGATTTTATAATATTTTCAAATTTCTAATTAAGTGAAGTGTTAATAAATTTTAAACAACTTAATTCATTTACGCCTTTTTAAAATTTTTTAATTTATTCTCGAAGATTCCTATTGGAGTGTTAATAAAGTTTAAACAATAAATTCATTTACGCCATTTATTTTTAATCTTTCTTATTCTCAAAGATTATTAATTAGATGAAAATAAAAGTGAACAAGTCAACGTAAAAATTATTATATTGGATATTGTTAATTTAAAGAAATATGTCGAAATAAAATTTTTTTAAATTGATACATAACTGCTTTGTATTTTTATCTATATTTTGCCTATATATAATAAAAATTTATTTTCTACACCAAATTTATGTCTAGTTTAGAGCCCGAACCAAACTCGGGCTAAAATTTTGTATAGATGGCCAGTTAAATTACCTTTTATTTGATACCCATATCAAAATAAATTATTTTTTACACCCACCCCTTCCATTTACCCCCCCCCCCTACCAAGTCATACCCATCAAGTCAAAAAATGAATATTTTTAATCTAAAGATATTTAAATTAGCTTTTATTTGATACCCATATCGATATTTTGTGTTGATAAAAATATTCCTGACCCCCCAAGACACCCGCCCTCTATGAGTGATTATTATTATTACAATAAAAAAATATTTTAATTACCTTATATTTGATGCCCATCTCAAAAAATTATTTTTTACACCCCCCCCCCTCCATCTCCCCCCTCCCAGGCTAAGTTATACTCATCAAGACAAAAAATCAATACTTTCAATCTTAAGATATTTAAATTAGCTTTTATTTGATATCCATATTGATATTTTGTGTTAATAAAAATATTCCTGACCCCACCCCCCAAGACCTAGACACGCTCTCTATGAGTGACTATTTTTATTACAATAAAAAAATATTTTAATTACCTTTTATTTTATACCCATATCAAAATTTTTACACCCCCCCCCCTCCCAGACCAAGTCATACCCACCAAGACCAAGATTGGAGACTTTTCGTCAAAAGATATTACAATTAGCTATTATTTGATACCCATATCGATATTTTATTTTGATAAAAATATTCCTGATCCTCCAGACTAGACTCACCCATTAAGGGGGAGAGATTGACCTCCAGTTGAATAGATCTTTTGATTAGCTATCGATTGATATATATATTAGACATATCTTATTTCATAAGGCCAAAAAAAAACAACATTGAAAATTAATAAATAACAATAAAATTAAAAAGAAATGAAAAGAAAAGAAGCGAAACGCGCGTAAAACGCTTTTTAAAATAAGATTACTCTTTATCACGATTAAAACGTGATAATACCATATTATCATTCCTTAACTTAAAACCCTAATTTTTTATTTATCCCTTTAAAACCCGTGATGATCCTGGATAGTTCTGATCCCTTTCAAAATTACGACAGATATATTATATAAACCTCCCGCCGGGTTATCAATGTCCTAACAAGCTCATTTTCCCCATTTTGAGAAAAATATAAATCTTTTCGTAATTTTTCAAGAAAATATTCCATTGGATTCAGAGTCCATTTAACTAAAATAAATATTATACTAGGTGATATATTATTTACCCATATTTGTTAAAGATTTTCTAATTTTTCCCTTAGTTCTTTTACTGATATAAATATAGGCATCTTCAAGCATCAACTACGATTTAAATTTAATTTTATAATCCAGTTTAAGTACCTTTTCAATAATCTGAAAAGTTGCGATAATTTGGTTTTTTCCACCTTTGCTATCAGTTAATAAATGCATGAGTTCACTTTCAAATTTATTTGCCTAGTTTGTTGTTACAAAGTAAATAGTTCATATTTTCATAAAATATTTTATACTTGAGTTAAATGTGTGGCAATTTCTGTCGCTTTCGTTATATTCGGCTTATCTTTAAGATTTCTTGAATACTTATAAATTTATAGCAAAAATGTATTTAACCGAGATTACTAATTATCAATAAGGAAAGAACAATATTATTTTTGTAAAAAATTTTTTAAATATCAAAAGTTTCTGGTAATTTAGATTTTCTTATGAGAAATTAAAAAAAAAATTCTGAGAAAATAAATTTTTTTTTGCTAAGTAACTTCATCTTAGATTTTTATAAAAAAATCTGAAAAATCAGTAATAATATCAAGCCTTTATTTTTTAATTCTTGAGCAAGTGTGAAAAAAAAAATTCGGGGTCTTTCAATTTTAAATCTAATCGAATTAATATGCCTTTATATATTTAGCATATTATATTTATGTAAATTTAGAATGACTAATTTATATTTACGTGATAGCAAATTTATTTTTAATTGTATAAAGCGCATTTTTATGAAGAGAGATTAAATTAATCGGGGTTAAAATTAAACTCGAAATATTTCCTTTGCACTTATGACCATAAGTTAGAGAAACCAGCAAGAAATTTATAAGCTATTTTTTTTATAAAATGAATAATATAAATATGGATAATGAAGGGTTTCTCTCCAAAAAAAAATTTTAATAGAAGAAAAAGTGGCTATCATTAAAAGAGATCAAAAAAGAGGTAATGTACCAAATGCTTAGAAAAAGTTCTTAACAACAAGGATTAATCAAAAAGGAAAAGTGTCAATCAAATAAGGAAAAGGCCAGATAAAAATTCTCTATTATGGTTTCTCTATAAAGACGTGGAATCAAAAATATAAATTTTTAAAAATTTTATTGCCAAAAAGAATAAAAATTAAGTGAAATTTAAATATAGTTAAGAAAAATATCATAAAAAATTAAATAATTAGAAGATGAAATTAGAGAAAAAGAATAAAATGACATAAAATAAAGAATTAAAGAAAATTGATAGGAAAAAAAGAAATTATCTTTTAAAAAGACAAAAAAAATTAAAAATGAGAAGAAAAAAATTAGGAAAATTGACAAAAGATGAGAAAAAAATGACTTAAAGATAACCAAAAATTTTAGAAAAATTATATTTCTTGATCATAAAAATTAATTTTTAAAAAAAAGACGATTTTTCTATTTTGAATGGGATTTTTCCTTTTTTGATTGACACTTTTCATATTTGATCGAACTTTTTCCTTTTTAGAATGGCACTTTTCGTTAAATTTATAGAGAAAACAATTATAGAGAATGATTTATAGAAATCATTTTATAGAGAATATAGTTTACGGAGAAGATTTTATATAGAGAATGACATTTATAGAGAATGATTTTATAGAGAATGTCGTTTATAGAGAAAAATATTTTACAAAATGTCTTTCATAGAGGATAATTTTAAAGAGAATGGTTTTATAGAGAATGCGGTTTATGGAGAATAATTTTAAAACGAATTCTTTTATAGAGAATATCGTTCATAGAAAAAATTTTATATATGGATTTTATTATATTTTATACAAACTAATAAATATATTTCATATTTGTTCCAGACATGAATTAGTTTTTGATGCCATCTTTTGGAATTCAATTTCGTACATTTTAAATAATGATAATAAGTTGTTTTTATTAAAATAAATGTCCTATCCTATAAAAATATTTTCCAGCTATATTCAGGCTAAAGAAACCTGGCCGAAGCCCGTGAAAAAGCGGACAGAAGAGAAATTTACTACCCCCCCCCTGCCCCTCAGAGAATCCAGCTACGCATATGTTAGATAATTAACTATTAACTCAACTTCTATTGCTATTAGCCAACTAAACTTGATACAAATTATTTATTCGTATTAAATAATATTATTAAGAGAATTTAAAAGGAACTTAAACATTTAAAAAATTTGTAAACCGAATCTGAACCGAACTTTCAAAAATATATTTTAATCTTTTGATATCCTAGCTCTTATAATTTACACGATCAGTTTGGATTGATAGATATCAGTATCTATTTTTATTTTTGTTTTATATTACATTTATACTGCCAACTACCTAATTTAGCATAGAGAGGGTTCGTTTTAACCGAAATTTATGCATGCAGCTTTGATATTTGAATTTCTTTTTGGAAGACATTTACAATTTAGTAGTAAATTAATAGAGTTGATTAATGACAAAAAAATAATACTCAGCTCAATTATATTATATAATTCTGAACTGGGTTATATATTAATTTGCAATTGGGTGATTCTTATCTAAAATATAAATATATATACTTTTACCTTTGTCTTTCATAAGCGCAGGCGAGGAGTTGGAAAGGAGGAATTCATCTCCATCACCAATTCATACAATATATCATTAGATAATTTGAAAGAAAAATAAGTAAAAGTTAATAAATTTTCATAATAACAAATATAATTCATAATTTTTTAAAAAAAACATTTTTTATATATAAAGTGAAAATAATTATTTTATAAAAATATAGCATGATTTGAAGTTGAAAAAATAACAGTTTACCGGAAAAAACATATTGACGTTAACATATTCCAATAAAATATAAGAAAAATTATTATTGAATTTTGAACTAAATTTTTTTTAAATTTAAATTAACAATTACTTTTTCCTTTCAAAGTTTTTTTCATGGAATGGATCAAAAAGTTAAAAAATTTAAAAATAGATCTTACCATTTATTTTATATAAATAGTCGGAAAAATATATAAATATAAGAAATTTTATTATTTAATTTTGAAATCTAAATTTTTAAAAATATTTAAATGGCTGAATTTATTTAAGGCAATCAAAACAAACAATTATTAATTTTAGATTCATTTATTTTTCAAAAGGTAAAAAAAAACTAACAAAATAATATATTGGAGATGTCTTCACTAGGAGTGCAATGAAGGAGCAAAAACAAAAAACGGAGTTGCATTTTTTTAATAATACAGATGTACCAGACGGTTTATTCGCTTTTGCTAAGGGTTGGGGGGGGGGCACAATTATGGGGTTTTCCACCATCAATTTTATTGGAGGTCTTTAGATATACCTATTGTAGATCTTAGGCTGTATTAGATTAATAAAAATAATTTTAGGACTTTTTATATGAGAGTACTTTATTTCTAAAGAAATCATAGTCATTATTTTTAAAATTTATATACTTTTACTAATTTTTCTACAAATTCTTCCGTACAATAATACATTATATAAATTTTTTATTGAGAGGAGGAATTGAGAGGTTTATAGGGAGGAAATTTTTATTCGAAAACAGGCAAAATTGCAAGAGGGGAATCCTCCTGCCCCCCTTTGATTATGTCCCTGTACCAGATATATGGGAATAATGCTGAATTCTTTCTTAATCAAAATAATAAATTAAAGAAAGAGACGCCAAGTAGGAAGGGTGTCCGCTGTTAATTTAATTGACCGAATAATTGTTATTAAATATTAAATAAATAATATGGAGAACAATTCTTATTATACGATTGCGGTCACAATGATCATCTATGATTAATTTTTTCGACCATAAGAAATATAAAGCTCCTATCAACGTGTGGTAAATGATTATATTTGGCAGCTTCAAACATGCCCTTCATTCTTTTAACAAATTTATATCTACGGGATGAGATACAATACTATTATTCTGTTGTTTATATCGGCCAACAAGATTATTTGTATATTTCCGAGAAAATTAAAAAAATTACAATTTAAGAATAACCTTATATAACATTTGTTTTTGTTACTTTATATATTTAATTTATTTTTAAATCTAATAGTTAAAATTCTAACATAAAATTTCCCATAGATTAAAAATAGTGTCAATATTTTCGAACAAATATCAATCAATTTAAAGGAAATAAAGGAATTTTTTTATAAATACATTTTCTCTCTATAGTTTAAACAGGGGTGCCGATCCTCTCCATGTTTCCTTTTTCCAATTTTATTGCAATTTTAATTATGTAACAAATTACTTCCCTTATATTTTTTAAGTAACTGTTATCTTATTTTTCTCCGGGTAATGGTAACCTAACCGTTACAATTTTCTTTAAATAACGGTAACCCTAACTGTAAATGTGTTGGCAAACAAAATTTGATAAGAGAATAAATAAATAAAATATTGAAATAAAATATAATGAATAATGATAATTAATTATTGCTTTAATTTATTACTATAGTATTTAAATCTCCAAAGACTATGCGGGGCATTAATAATAACTTAAGAAAAATTTTTTATATTGTATTGTTTTTATTCAATTTTTTAAGAATTTATTTAAATGATTTATTGAATATTTCGCTACAAATCTACACAAAAATGTAATGCATATACATATTCTAGTAGTGGCTTCTCTAGATTTAAGGAAATTAGTTATAATACAGGAGACATAGCGGATTAAAGGGTAAAATTCAAATGAGAATTTTTAGTTTTAAAAAATTTATAATACTCTTTTACAAATTTTTTAATATATTTTTAATTTCTTTTTATTATATTTTATTTGATTAAGTTTATTAAGTACAACAAGTTTTTAAACAGGTCCAAAAATAAAATTATGGATACGCCAACTGTTTATGAGTAAGATTTTGCTTATTCCATAACAATTGGAGAGTTCTGAATCTCAAATATTGAATTAGACGGTAAATGGTAATATTTGAGAATAAAATTATTTCAGATAATTTATTTTTTAAATAAATCATATTCTATTAAATCATTCTCTATAAAATCATACCATAAAATTATTCTCTATATATCTTTTCCCATAAAATAATTCTCTATAAACAAGATTCTCTATAAACGATATTCTCTATAATTGTCTCTATAAATTAGATTATAAAAAAATTATTCTCTATAAACGAGATTCTCTACAAAATAATTCTCAATAAATGAAATTTTCTATAGTATTCACTATAATTGTTTTTTTTTAATATCTCCCCCCCTCCCATGAAAATTTTTTTTTAAAATGTAATTTTTGTAATTTTCATATTTGGTTAATAACTTTTATATTTTTATAATGTTTACAGAATTGGAGATTCAAATAAAATGTATTCTTTAAGCATTACATATTCGCCTAAGCTTTAGGATTAGTCAAAAGTTTGGCAAACTTTATGTTAGAACTGTATCTTAATATCTGATTTATCAAATTTTTAAAATATAACTCGATTTAAATAATGAGATTTTAATTATTTCATTAAACAAATTGAGCAGAAAAAATAACATCCATAAAGATCATAGTATCATAAGATTTAAAGATATCTTGAATCGGGAAATAAGATTTTTGATAATTTAAAATTCGATATTTAAGATTCAACCTAAGATTCGCTGTAATTTTTATTTCGCTTATAACTGGTTTTTATTTATTAGCTGAAAAAAAACTGATCAATGAACTAGTAAGTACTAATCATGCTTTACATATTGTATTGCTTCAATAATTTTCCTACTGGCATGATATCAATGTTGGCTATTTTTTTTTATTTTGCCAAAGATCTATCTACTAAACATGTTGAAACAGTAAAGATGTATTAAATACGCACTTATTATTGACATAAATTTCCGAGATAATGCTACCAGATGTTTGGCTATCTTTACTCTTAAGACATTATATCATTGTTAGTTTTTGGTTCATTATTCAGTTACTTTTTTAATAGTTGGCGAAATTTATTAAAAAATTAATAAGGCACTAAATAAACGCAAGCCAGATAGTTATAACTTCTAAATTTGATTTTTTTTAAAATTCTTTTCCTCTTACCAATTACCAAAGAGAATTAAGCAATAAAATATACTAATAAAGTACTTCTTGATGTTTCAGAATTAATGTTTCCAAAAGCTTACTTCACGCTTAGAGCGTGACGTCGTAGTTTTATTGTTTATAACTTTCGTTTATTTTTGTGGTTCTCATATTTGAGTGAGGAATTGAAAGTACTAGTCAGCATCAAATATTAGCACACGCCAGATAAATAGTTTTTTTTATTTTACATTTAAGCACGATAACTATTTAGGCAATTTTCTTTTTTCTACTGTCTACCAAATGGATAAATTAAATACAATATTGATATAATTTGCTGAATTAATGATATTGTCACTTTTTAATCCTTAAGTTAGTCAAAATCTTGTTATTAGTAATTTTTTCCTTTATAATGGTTACTATACTGGTTAAAGTCAGACACTAATAGAGCATAAAGCATTGCCAAATTTTAAAATAAGGGTTTGTTCAGGGAATTTTAAGGGAGATTATATAAAGACCACCGAAATACCAATAATAAAACGCGGCCCAAATAAAATTTTAAACCTTCCCCCACTCCCCCCCCCCTCCTTTGAAAATCCTGGCAACGTCACTCTATCCACTATGATTTCTCTTTAAGAACGAGATATCAATATTTTTTTATATATCAAACTATTTCATTACAAATGCTCAAAATTTGAAATATTAATCGATATGTAAATTAGTAAAATACAATAATTTATCTTTGGAAATTAAATATTTATATCACAAGCACTCTATACTTCTGACTCCCGAGCAATTAAATTATTTTTTTTATATTTTGAGGAAAATATTGTAATATAAAAAATTTAAGCCTTTTTTGTTATTCATTCAATTTGATTGATACATTGTTATGAAATTAGTTTTTTTGTTTTAAAATTACGAGGATGGAAGTAATAAAGAAAAAATATTGATAGTGCAACACAGTAACGTTATTAGCCTTTACAATCTCAGGAGGCTCAAAATCTTTTTTAAAAAATTTTCAAAATACTCCTTGCTAAAATTTTCAAAATGACCTATTTTAGAAATTTCAAAGTTTAAAGGTTACTCTTCAATTTTTTTATGGGATTCAAGGCCATGCCCCTCCCCACTCCCTAATAATGCTATGATGCGAAAGTTCTAATAATTGACATGCTAAAAATGGATAGTATCAGAAATATAGCATCATGAATGTAAGCTATAAAACTGTAATAAATATATTTTACTTAAAAAATATCAACAAAAAGATAAACATATTTTATTGTATTATAAAATTACTTTTATTTATTTTTTAATTCTTAATATAAGTAATTTAAGACGAGTTTTAATTCACATATCAACCACTTCCTTCATTTTTATTTTAAATTCTCGTTGTTAAATTTTCTGTCGCTAATTCAATTTGGTTTGAAAATCACTTTTTTTAACATATAATATATGATTTTGGATTATTACTTTGCAAATGGCTTGATAAAAATATAATAAATCTTTTGGAGATTCCGTACTAATAAATTCATGCATATTTTGATCATATTCTATATTAAATTTTTAATGTAATAATAATAGTTCTTTTACCATATTTAAAAGAATCCTTCATGTTTTCATATTCCTTAAAATTGTGTTTATTTAGTATATATAATGTAGGATAAAATATATGGCAAGATAATTAATATTACAACAATAATCCATTAATTCATTGATTGAGGTTTATACTTTTTTTTATATTTTTGGGTATTATGCTGGTAGTGGTAATATAAGAAAATAATTCTGATAAATAAATTAGTTATTGTTCATAGACATTTAGATATGAAATACCATTTTCTTTAGAACATTTTTAAAAAATAAAGAATGAAGTATGGGGGGATATATTAATTCACTGTGCTTTTTTCAAAAAAATGAAACGTATATAAGATTTTTTTAATGAAGGTAAATCTCATTGCAACTCTACTTTTACAAACATTTATTAAGAGATATGTGAATCTTAGCAGTTCAAAAAGTCGGTCCCCTGGGACTATCTAACCTAATTTTAAATTATAAGTTATAAAATATCACGCGGAAATCGCTGAGCTGGCTAATGATGTAATTAATCATTTATTACTAAATATCGCTCGGCTTACTATAACTTTAATATACTATAAAGTTGCAAATTTAATTTATATTTATCTAATCTATCATGCAATTCGCTATAACGATATCCAACTCTATGAACCCGATAAGGAGGCGTGATAGACCTTTTTGATGGTTCTTCTCTATTACTAATTTTTAAAAATTCTAATTATGGTTTGTAAGCCATAATTATAATTGAATATATTTTATTTATTTATCTGTCATATAATTGGTTGAATTTTATATATTTATTAATTAAATATATATTTGTTGAATGATATTTTTTTTTATTATCGAAAACCATTGATTGTTAATTTTTACCCATATATTTTTTTTAAATATTTTTGTTGAATGATATTTTTATTATAGAAAATTATTCAGCCATTTTTTGTAAAAAGCTAAATAAAAATGAGTTGGACATGATAAAATTTAAAGGGAAGGGTAAATGGGAAAAAGAATCTTTAAGGATAAAGATGCCGTGCAGATTTGTAATTTAGATAGCTTCGATTCTTTCTCAATGTTCATTTATTAACTTATAAATTACTAATTACATATTATCTAAGCATACAATTTTCATTTTTATACAAAGGATTCTTTACACACTTCGGTTAACACCAATTTTTAAATATCCTATTCCTCTCCAAACTTACGAAAAAGGAATAAAGGACTTAACCGAAAAAATAGTAAATATCAGATTCAATGAAACCACTTGGGCCCAAGCAACTCTTCCAACCAAATTTGGTGGTCTCGGCATCAGATCTCCACATGACTTAGCAATAACTACTTTCATATCGAGTAGTCTCTTGACAAAGTCAATAACCACCGCCCATAATTCTAAAAAAGACCTTTCCTTAATCGTGGCTATGGATATTTGGAAAACAAGGATCAATGCTGATTCTCATCCCCCCACAACCCATAGACAGAAAGACTGGGATGCACCAGTGGTTGCTTGCTGCGTTGAAACTCTCTTATCTAGCATGCAATCTACCGACCGCACCCTATTCTCTTCCCTGCTCAATGGTACGGGACATGAGTTTCTTGAGGCCATCCCATCTACCAATCTTCAGCTTCAACTATCCAACAATGAATTTACCCACGCCATCGGCATTCGTCTAAATTGTTCCATCACTCACCCTCACATCTGCTCAGGGTGCAACTCGCCAGTTGACTCGAAGGGTAGACATAGTTTACATTGTCGCTCCTGCAATGGACGATTCATCAGACACAAGCAATGTAATACAATCATCCAACATGCACTGAAATCCGCCCAAATTCCTTCCACTCTAGAACCACAGGGTCTTTTTAGATCTGACGGTAAACGTCCTGACGGGATCTCTCAAATCCCATGGAGGAGAGGCCAACTTTTGGCATCGGACTATTCCTGTATTGACCCCCTTGGCCCCATCCAACCACGCCATCAACATCCTTGACAAGAAGGAACAACTTAAAACTTCTAAATACACAGAAATAATGAACGATCATTGCTTCTACCCAATCATATCAACCACTCTTGGCACCTTCGGCAAACTCGCCTTAGCATTTTTCAAAAACTTAGGATCACAAATCAGCAAACTCTCAGAAGAACCTCGAGAGGGTTTTTTCTTCGTCAACGATTATCCATAGCGATTCTCAAAGCTAATTATATCAGTTTCAATGGTAGTCTTCTAGCCAAAGAGCTATCCGTCCTTTTTTCATTTTTGTTTCCCTGCGTCACACCATCTCCGTTCTTTTTTTTTATAGTATTATTTTATATTTTTTAAACATTTTTAAATATATTAAAACATAAAATATTTTATTTTCGGTTTTTTTAATACTTTATATTATTTATTATTTGAAAATTGAAAATTGAAAATAAAGGATTAAATACTTGATTTATTAAAAAATTTACTTTTCAAATTAAAATATAATAAGGTATAACAAAATATATTTCTATATATTTATAAAAAGGTATAACAAAATATATATTCTATATATTTATAAAAAGAAATACTTGAATAATATTTTCTAGAATATTTTTAAAGATATTCAAGAGATTTATATTTTTTTTCTTCTTTAAATAAATTAATGTTGCTTTTTATAAACTAGGACTCCCAGATTTAACATCTTGTTTTGAGGTCACGCCAAATACGCTCAATGGGTATATATGCTTCTCTATCAACCCCGTTCCACAAAAAAATAATCTTCAAATAAATATTTTAAACATTTATTATCACATATTAAAATTTAAAAATTATAAAAAATTTATTTAAAAAAAATATGTGTAAAAATTAACAACCGATTGTTTTAAATAATAAAAATATCATTGAACAAAAAAATATTTAAAAAATAAATAAATAAAAATTCAACCAATCATATGGTAGATAAAAAAATAAAAAATAGACAATGTTAATTGGCTTACAAATTATAATCTTACCTAAAATTCATCCAACTTGACATTTTTGAATAATTAAACTTTTATAGGAAAGATTGACTCTCTAAAATTCCATTGAATTATTTTAAATATAGCTAAAATGTATTTGTAGAAATACCCGGGCAAACGAAACCCTTCCTCCATACTCTTACCTAATATTTATTATTAGATATGACTATTGGTGGTTAATAGCCTTCAAATGATAGGAAAATTGGCTGATTGCGCGAGACCAAATTTGAATAAGCATCCGTATCTCGTCAATATCGCGAAAATTTTTCCGCGAAAAATATTATCACCAATGCATTATCGCGAGTGTTGATTACCTCTAAGATATTTTAGCGAATGCATTACCGCGGATATAACAATATCGAAAATTCATTAAAGCAAACTCACAAGTCTCTTTAAAGCTCTTTGAACTGAACGAATATTCCACTTTTTCTTAGGGAATTCAGAAATCAAACTTGATGCATTCCAATTTTTCTTGGCATAATTTTATATTATCAGATCTGTACATGATTTTTAATTTACAAAATCACATGGTTTTATATTGTTAATAAAGAGCAACAATTATTATAAGATTTGTTTGATAACCAAAATATTTTGTGTTATAATTTATAATTTAGAAACCGATTTCTCTAGGATAATAAATATTATTCCGTTATTTTCATGGAAAATAATTTGCTGATTTAATATACCATTTATAGATAATTAATATAAAAATCATAAAATATGACATTTAAATATGTAAAATTTTGGTATTGTGCAAGATATCTGTAAATAGTCACATGCTAAGATATTTTAAACCCAATATATATACTATTTAACTTATTTTTAAGCTAATTCCATATATATATTATAAATTGATAAGTAAATAATATTTTTCTTTAAAAAAATTTGAACAATTGTAAAATTTAGTCTTACGAAGCAAAACCCTGTTGTAATATTTAGATGAAAACGAAAAATATATTGTTCAAATTAAAAGAATTATTAATATATTATTTAAGATTACAGACTATGTTAATGATTATTAAGGAAATGATATATAATTAAGATTTTGTGAATATTATACCACTTTCCAATTTTTGGGAAAGTATTCTTTCTTAATTTTTATTTAGCTTTAACCCTTTGTCTTTTAATATGTCTTATTATTTTATAATTATGTTGGAACATGTAATATGATAATAAAATTATTTAATTTAAATGTTTATATATATTCTGATTATTATTTTCAGTTCTTTTTATTTCAATCTAGTCTCCAATTGTTACCTCAATCATGCTTACTAAAAACCCTAGCTAAAATCAGGCCATCGTCTATATTAAATATATACCAACCCCATTCTACTACATCACATTGGACTTTACAAAGATTTATTTTAATTTAACCAATTTTAATTATTATTTTAATAAGTTCTATTTACCGACATTATCTTCCGTGACAATAATCTAAAATGTTTAATAATTTTTTTCCTAAATTGCATTATAAAATAAAACTGATTTAAATTTATAAAGTAACCAATTACTATACATTATTATATATATTTTAATATATCATATATTTAAGCACAATTTGAATGATTTAATTAGCCCTGATTGGTTCCCAGCCCTATGTCAAGTGTAATCAGAAAAAAAAAATACCGATTCGTTCAACATCCCCTTGATAGTAATATACAACAATCTTATTTGCATTTATCTGAATTAATATAACTAAAGAAAGAAAGAAAGAAATTCCTGTTTCCCAACCTCGTAGGATTTTTCATCCTGCTTATCATTTTTTTCATTCAAGGTATTAAAGGATTAGGTTATTAATGTAAACAATACACAAATAAAGTTTAGGAAGAATTATATCTTTGCACAAGCTTGATTAAGATTATATTGTTTGAAACATATTATTATAAATTGGAGATATCATTTTGGTCTTTTCAATGAATATGAATTATATCTAGAACAGCATAGAGTAAAACTAACTTTTTTCACCACCACAAAAAAATTGATTCAACCAGATATATCATCGTCATTTTTGTAATATTGACTACCTATTAAAAGTTGCATAATATGAAATCGACATTTTTAAGTTTCATGATACAAATAGTACT